ATAGTTTGGCCTAAATAAAAATGTGATTACATATGATGTGATTATATGGGAGGTGACTATATGGAGGGTTGACTGCATTTAAAATATTCAATCGCTTATCTTATAGAAATCAACAAGACATAAATCCGAACTAAGCCCGGAACAATGAACAAATAAATAATATTTATATAAGGAAATGTAATAAAGCGAATTATAAAATGAAAAGAGAAAATATAACCGATTAAGTCACGGGAGGACCATGACAACCAGTTAGGTTAAACAGATAGACACCGTTAACTTAAAAGATTATGATAAAAAAAAATTTTTTTTAGGCGGTTTCAAATAATTAAATATAATAAAAGGTCTTATTTAATTAGTAAAATTTGTAAAACCTCAAAAAGTAATAGAAAAATCTATTAAAATAAAAATACCGTTAAAAGTAAAATAAAAAAAAAATACTACAAATTACCGGTGGTGTTCATATATTTTTGCTAAAATTAGAGTTTGGGTGTAGTTATAAATAAGATAGAGGCTAGATGTAAATGGTTCAAATTAGTTAGCATGAGGTTTTTTGAGTTCTGAATATTTTTTACTTAAAACACCTGGCCCTAATAACCTAGTAAATTTTGAGATATAGCAACACCAGTGTTGATCACCAGTGTAATAGTAAACCTCTAATTAAAATAATTCGTCATATGATTTGAGAATGATTCGAGCATTCTCTTGAATTTAATTCGTGAGTTATGAGTTAACACGAGCTCCCAAGTATTATCATGATGAATTGTTTGCAAAATTAATAAGTGAAGCAGCTAATCATCATTTTATTATCTAGTCTTATTAATCATTTTAGTATCATATTAATCATTCTTTTTTAATGCCAGCTTCAGATATCAATATATCAATGATATCAAAACAAAATATATAGTATATTATCAACATCATATTTAGCGTAATCATCCACATAGCACCTTTCTTTTTTTATAAAAATAACTTCAATTAATATTGTACTCATTACGATAGTCAAATTCAATTATCACTAAAAAATTCCAAATTTTAACGCACCTCATTTATACACATTTTGAAATGTCCTTTGAAGATTTTGAAGAAATACCAGTAAACAAAAAAAAAGAAGTTAGAAAGATATTGCTTATTGGCAGAACTGGAAGTGGTAAATCTACACTCGCTAATGTTTTAGTTAAAAAGGTAGAGCAATTTGCAGTGAGCAGTTCGAGCGGTAGCTTAACAAAATCAGCACAATCAGTATTTTTCGAAGAGAATGGAGTAAAATATCAAGTAATTGACACGATTGGACTTTGTGATACAATGATGACAAAAGAAAGGGCAATGAGCGAACTAGCAGAGACTTGCAGAATGCTAGAAGGAGGTCTATACCGAATTCTTTTAGTAACTGGTGACAGATTTACAGAAGAGGAAAAAGATATGTACTATACAATGAAAGAAACTATTTTTGACCATAAATTTACACACTATACGACCATTATTCGTACCAAGTTTCCGTGTTTTCTTAATGAGGAAGACTGTAAAAAAGAAGAAGAAAACTTGGACAAAACAAATCCTGGATTTTCTAAAATAATTAAAGAATGTAAAGATATTGTTTTTGTAGATAATCCGCCTTTGATAGGATTGTCTAAATCAATTGAAGCTAATAAAGAAGTGCGAAAATACTCAAGGAAAAAAATAATTGAAAGCTTCGCTTCTAATTGTGAAAAATATTATCCGCCTACCTTAAAAGAAGTAAGCGAAAAGTTAGTCTCTTGCTTTATGGAAAAAGAGAAGTTAGAAGAAGATTTAAAAGAAGCAAAGAAAGCAAGTATTTTATCTGCTAAGGAAATAGAAGAGAAGGAAAGAAGAATAAAAGAACTTAAAGACGAGATAAAAAAGGCAAATGGTAAAAGCATTCGATTTTTCATTAGCCCTCCTGTTTCTTTATGTACAATCCTGTAAAGTCTTTATATGTATATTTGTTTCAATTGTTTGTCCTTAATTCAAAATAACGCCTATGAGCGCTGTATAGATAGTGTATTTTTTTTACTATTACTATTATATTCAATAAATTTTGCTATTCTTAAAATTTTTTTTTTTTTTTTTTTTTTTTTTTTTTTTTTTTTACAAGATGTACATTATTTCGAATTCTGTAGACGATAATTTTATGATAAAAAAATAAGTACTTAGTAATAGTTATATCCTGGGCAGTTGGGTATAAACGGGGCTGAAAGTCCCGCTTATACACATAGTGCCCAGGGTATAACTGATTTATGCCCTGCAATCTTGATATAGTGACCAGGGTATAAGTGAAAAAATTTGGGTTTCTTGTGGATTCCAGGGAGCACAATGTCTAATAACGTCTTTGTATAATAATAAGCAGAACGTATCTGGGTATGTACTGTACGTACAGTATATACGTACGTACGTGCGAACATATGTACTGTACGTACGTCAGCCAACAACGTCTGAAATACATACATAAGAAGTTTGTAAAAAGAAAAACTCCTTTGATTTTCGTATAACTTTTAGAATGCACGCTCCCTATAAAAAGTAATCTCCTTAATACACTTCTAAATGCACGACTTTTCTAAATGCGCGTTGTTAAAGGTTAAATTTCATAAAAAATTTTTTTTCATTAACAGGTGCCCTCGGGCACTTAAACGTTCATAACTTATATCAGGAGAGCCCTTATAATATATAATTCACAATAAAGATAAAAATGCATCACATTACATATTAATACATATAATATTAATACAATTATTATCGTTATTAAGTTCCATTTAGAAGTTAATCTGAGATCTACTTAAAACAATGCACACGATTTTCTTTATTTTCTTGTAAACTTTATGTGAGAAAATAAAATCTTTGTAATTTATTTCACACCAATTAGCAATGTTGTTATGTTTAACAGTTTGAGTTTTTATGCAAACCGTTTGAGACAATTGCTTGTTTGCCTAAATAAATTTAATCATCTTTATGGGCGTATCATGCGTCATAAATTAATAAATTAAAAATTACTTGATTTGCAGATTAATATCCTTTTACGTACGTACGTAAAAAACAACGACAAAAAAACAACTATCAATACTCTATTTAGCAAAATGACATTGTACTCTTTATATCGTTGACATTTAATATGTATGTAAATATTGTTACTTAAGTAAATCTAATATTAGTATCAGATACTTATATGTATATATGTAACATTGGTAATTCTCCAAAACGTAAAAACTGCATTTGACTTTCACGATTATATTTTGCATAATTGTACAACATTCATAAATCCAAGACGTTAGCTATTGTCGTTTTATGTATAAAATATGGATCTCCCTAAGTTTTAATCGTGGGCTCAATCCACTTTAAATCAAAGGTGTTCATAATCGTTATAACTTTCTTCCTCCCCTATTCAAAAAGAAAAAATTTTATTCACTGTGTGAATCCTATTTTTTTCTTTCCAATTCATATAATTCTCTCTTGATATTCTTTGAGTACCTCTTGAAAATGAGAGTATCGTTCGTTACAACCATTGTTGTCATTATCACAACTTTGCTCTCTTTTGAAGCCTTAATCGTTTCCTCGAACACACAATTCTTGGGAAGCTGCAATAAATCAAGGATAAAGGCTAATGGTACTCAAATTAAAACTGGTAAAGATGAAAGTGGTTTCTGCTCCAGTTTAATCCAAGGACAAATCCCTTCCAATTTGAAAATGGTCTCTACTATTATCCTTAACCCTACTAGTGGTGAACAAATAAAAGCTAATAAGAACTTTATTATAAAAATTAAGGTTATAAATTTAAATACTGGATTCTTCAGTGATCCTAACACTGAATATTATACATCTTCGCAAGAACTTGATAATAATGGTTTGATTAAAGGCCATAGTCATGTTGTTATTCAAAAATTGACTGATGATGAAAATCCTCCTGATCCAACTACATTTGCTTTCTTCAAGGGATTGAATGATAAAGCCGCTAATGGTGTATTATCAACTATTGTTACCCCTGGATTACCAAGAGGTTTATACCGATTATGTACAATGAGCTCCTCCTTTACTCATCAACCGGTTATCATGCCTGTTGCTCAGCGCGGTTCACAAGATGACTGCGTTCGATTTAATGTGGTTTAATCTTAATAATTTTTAATAATTATATATAGATATGTTCTTTGTAATTTAATAATCTAATAATTAATTTACTTAAATGAGCCCCATAAAATAATTAACGCTTTGACCTCTGTTCTTTGCTATATATGGTCATACGTGGTTATGTAGTGTGATGATTCTTTACTGTATAAGTTTAGCATTATATGTAGGAAATTTTATTTTTAAAAAACGCATACTGTACATATAGTAATGATTGATTTAATTTAATAGATAAACCTGCTTAATAGTCTATCTCAGGATAGTGTAAGACAATTTCAGATGCTCGTTAACAAGTTAACGAGTCATATTTAAATAAACTATTCAAGCTCATATTCAAAGAAATCTTATGATTATCAAATCATCGAGATATGAGCTGTGAAAGTTAAAATATTAATAATTTTAAATAAAATGCCAATTTGTTGATTTCTATTGACGACAGTCCATATTTCTTTAGAATAATTTAGGTTTGGGTCAAAATCCCGACAACCAAAATCTAACCTGATGTAGACTAACTTAAATAAACTATTCAATTTAGGTTTGGGTCAAAATCCCGACAAACAAAATCTAACCTGATGTAGACTAACTTACCAGTTTGTTTTCCTGCAAATTTATAGCATTTACTATCTCACTATCTCATCTAGTTTTATTTATTAATTGGCGAGTATGAAAACCTTTTAATAATACTTTACTACTAATTATCATATTGATCTAACTTTGATCAATCAGCTGCACATCTATACAATCACTTGAACAACACCTGATTGTTGTCTATTATTTTAGTTAGATATGACCGACAAATTTATGAAAATAATATATTTTTAAAATATACTAGATTTTGAACCAGTATAATGTCGCAGTTCCCGTGATGTATGTTGTAGACATCAGCTGCACGATTATGAGCCACGATTTGTGGAGTTGCGTTGCGTGTGAAACTATGTGGATTTTCCTAAGATGGATTGTTCACAACCAGTGCATAAATGTTGTGAAGCAACATTATGCATTACCAGAGTTTCCGGAGAGTTTAGTGCGGAAAATGTATATAAATAGTTCCTTTTTCATAAAGTATGAATTCCACGATCTCCTAAATTATGCCGAGTTGCGACTGGAGTTAAACTGTGCGATAATGCTCATTTCTTTTCTAACCGGTCATAACAATAGCTAAATTTAAAATACTTCATGTTTGGTTTTTCTTTTGCAATATCATTTGATAATATTTCGTATATTTTTAAAAAACCAATAACCGTTAACAATTCATAGGTCAAATATTTAATTCATTAAGACACGGGATGAAATTAAGGTCGAACCGTGAAATAACACTCATGGTCGTTATTTGCGGCAATGCGGTATAAAACACTGCCGCATTTCTAGCCTGATAATAACAGTGTTTAACAACCGTAAAATTCAAGATCTTTATTTTTGACATCACGAAGAAATGGAAATTTGCTTTTCACAAGAGTTCGCCAGGTTACTCTTTTTGTCTTTGGGTCCCATTAAGGTTTCACATTTGTCTTTCGTCGGTTTTAGGCTTCATCGCTCCAAAAATATTTCCACCTAACGACTATAGCTTGGAGATAAATAGTTTCTAAAATTGTCTGGTTGGTATATATTTGTAATGAGAGAAAAATAAATGAACAAATTTTAAACCTGTTTATTGAATAAAATTTTAGAAATTGGTAGTAACAGACAAAATTTCGAAAGCAGGCTTTGTTATTATCGCAAAGGTTTTAATTGAGCTACTACAAATTTCTTGAATTCATAAATTTTTGAATTATACTGTATATTCTAAGTTATGTGTCTTAGCAAACTTCTAAGCCTTATAATCAGAATAATACATGAAATATCATAAACACAATTCATATTCAAGAATCAATATGAACAGCTAAACTATACCAAAAATATTATTATTGTATTGAGTTTTGAAATAAGCTCAGTTCACATATATAATAACAATTGAGAATTTGTAATGTGACGCCTTTAAAGCCACGAGGCTGTACTCTTCTTGTCATGAATAAATAATAAATAGTTATTGGATGTGTAGCATCCAATAACAGTTTTATTTGGCAGAAGAAATGAGAATACCGTGATCCTTCGGATCACGGGATGATCATTTTGAATGACAAATAAAAGAAGTATCTGACTTTGAATTTAATGTGCTAACCTGGGCCCCGAAGGGGCTCAGGTTGTCAAGCACATTAAATTCAAAGCCAGATACGCTGTTATTGGGATGCGGTGCATCCAATAACGGATCTATTTTTCTTTTCTTTCATAACAAATAAATCTCATGAGCTTAGCTGAGTCTATTTGGCGTATAACACCTGTTATACGACCTACATTTACTATTAAAAAGAAAAATAAACATGTTTATTTTGAAAGCTGATAAAAAGATTCCAAATATTAAATAAGGTGAATTTTTACGTCTTTCTTTCAAAAAGAATTATCATTCATTCTTATTTTAAAAATGAGTTCATCAAAATCCGAAGAGCAGCCAATCAAAGATCAAAAGCAAACTACAATTCCTATTGATGTTCCGCATGACGGAAAAAAAATCCATAGACTTATTTGTTCACCAAATATGAAATATATTGCGACTTTGAGTGATGAAGATAAATCAATTGTTGGATGGACAGTCGCAAAAGATCTTACTATCGAATATGACAATACATTAAGAACAAATAAACTCAGATTTATGTTAAATATTGATAAAAAAAAGTTCCAAGAAATATTTGAAGACAGTGATGCATTAATAGGGGTCTCGGATTATAAACATATTATACTAAAACTAGACAAGTATGAGACTGATAACTTTAAAATCGGTTAGTTAAAATTAATTAATTTCTTTTAATTATATATTTTATTTATATTAATAAACAAAAAAAATATTTTTTAACAGAAATTATTGATATCACAAATGAGTCGAAACAAATATTGAATGAGCAAGGTTTAGAAGAAAAAATAGATAGTATTGCATTTCTTGAAAATGGACATCTGGCAATTGCTAAAGGGGATCCTGTTTATCGGGCCTATATCTTTTTGAAATCAAAATCTAATGGAAAATATCAGTGGAAATGTATACGTAGAATTGAACTCAAAAAATTTTCTGCTTGTCATATTTTACAAAATGGAAAGTTAATGATGTTTTTCAAAACTCCAATTATAATCACGCAATGGAACTTAATAACTCAAAAGTTTGAGATGCGATATGTACTAAATTGGTCTGTGTTGCGTTCTTTAAGAATAAAAATGAATGGTGACAACACATTGCTAGCTGTAGCTTGTACTGCCTATGAAAAAAGTGTGGTCTATGTTTATTCAACAAAATCAGGTAAAATGATGGCAAAAGGTAGGTATTTTGCATGTAAAGTATCTGCAAATGTAAATAGTAAGATTATTAAATTTTTTTTTTATTTAACAATTTAGGTAAATTTGAAGAGGAATTGCATAATCTCTGCTTTATTGGATTAGAGAAAGAAGAACGTTTATTTTTTTCTGGCCCACAAAAATATCCGAAGAGCTCAGAAAAAGAGGTTGAGAGTTATAACTCATATATATTGAATCCTCGTATTTACACACTTGATAAGTCTCAGCATACTGATGCCTTACATGATATTTATTCTCCCACATTTAAAAATCACAAATCAGTTGGCCCTATTAATATTATCGATGATTATATCATAAAAATTAATGCAAATTATTTGTCGATTCAAAAATTGTCTCAAAATGAAAGGTGGAAAGATTACATAGAACGTAAGGAGCGCTATACGAGTAATGCATTCTTTCATGTAGAAGAAATTAAGCAATTTGTACAGGACACGTTGAAAAATTATCAATCAAATCAAATTATAATTTATCCAGAAGAAACTAAAGAACATTCTGGAGATCCATACACCTGGATTGTTGAACATGAGCATGACGTTTATTATGGTTCAAAAATTCATTATGTGAATTTAAAAGTTAAAAACGAAATTGATAAAGAGAAATATCCTTTAGATAATAGTATTTTGGAATATAAAGTGCTGGAAAATGGAGATATGCTGTTGGTTTTCACATCATGCATACAAATCATGACGGTAAAAAAAGAAAAAACATCTGATAAAGCATCTTGTCAATTAATTTATTGTCGGAAGGATAAATCTAAACCTGAAACAACCGAAACAGCTAAAACAGATGAAACGGGTGAACCAGCTGAAACACCCGAAACAGCCAAAAAAGCCAAAGAATCCATAATTGGACTTCTAACTTCTTTTAAGAATGAGTTAGATCTTGACTCTGAAATTTTACCCCCACCAACTTTAAATGTAGTTGTCAAGGCAAGACTCAGTGGTGGAGAATATTTTTCTAAGTATTACAACTTAAAATATAATGAATTAACATTAAAATTATATGGAAAAGATCTATTACATGAATTGATTCAAGATAAAAATGATTCTGTAATTGTGGAATTACTTGATGAATGTTATAAATATAGCTTATTAATGATTGAAGATGGTAATATTTATGACTTTAATTTGTTAATAAGTCAAATTGCTCTTGCACTGATAGAATTAGATGACTATAATAAAAATCTAAGAACTACAGAAACATTTTTATCTAAAACTAACTTGTTGATTCCTGATGATTATACCGATGCTATAAATAGAGATTCTCGATTAGTTCATTTTCAGCATAGTGGAATGTATATTCGTTTGCGTTATTTAGTTAATACTTCACTTTTTGATCGCATGTTTTTCTGGGTTTCTAAAAAATTGAATCTTTTAAAAAAATCTTGTCCTCAAATTTATAATATTTTAATATATCCTTATTCATTTTATTTGTCTTACTTTACTATTTATCCTAGAAAGACCGTAAAGTTAATGATTCCTTTATTGGGATTTGCCACATATCCCAAAAGTTCTTTTTATAGTGAATTATTTGAATTATTTTACTTACATGATAATCCATTTACTTCACTATTGGATGATTCCAGTTATTATGGATATTGGAATATT